TTTACATGAATGAGCCTATGTGTGACAGCCCGATTGACAGACTTAGACTAGCAGAATTTCATTAGCGCTCTAAAAATTTCTGGATGTCATTGCTGGATGTAAAAAAAAAAATGCTGGATGTAAGTAGGAAAAGTGAGGGGAGCAGATTCAGACCCCCAGCCTGGTACCTGTACCCTCTCCAGCCAATGAACATTTTCCCAGCCCAAACTGATCCTTCATGGGTTTTTTTTTTCTTTTTCATTCAGTGTTTAACACATTGGTGGATGCAGACAGTGGTAACACAGCAGAGGGTTCAGTTACATGTCAGTGCTGAGTCTAAATCAGGAGTGGGCAATAATTTTTTGCCAGGGGCCACTTCAAAAATGTTGAGGGGTGGGACCTCGAGTGGAAGGGGCGAGGCTCGGATACTTCCTGGTTCCCCCTGTCATGGCTCCTTCCTCACTCTGGCACGATAAATGCAGAAGTGGGGGCCAGCAAGTGTACCCCAAAGCCTTACCTACCAGGCTTTGGTATAAAACTTCCCCCAAAATCTTAAAAACCTAGATCTTGGGAATAAAACTTCTGCTGCCACCATCCAAATGTTGATAAAGAAATCGGGGAAGATCATTTGGGAAATCTCACCCCTAAGATAAAAATCAAAGCACACAATTAACCACTGCCAGGTTAATAAAAAGAAAAGAAAGAACTTTTATTATTACAACAATATTCCTGTTGCAAACATAATGACTAGATAGGGAGGTAACAAAATATACTCATGGAGAAACTCCATGGGCCTAGAACTTAGTTACAAAGAAAAGCCAAAACATCTAGAGGAAGGTAACAAAATATACTCATGGAGAAACTCCATGGGCCTAGAACTTAGTTACAAAGAAAAGCCAAAACATCTTTTAAGCAGTGCCAGATCTCAGATCCCATACCCAATCCATAAAACAATAAAACCTAACGAAACTACCTAAACTTTACCCTACTTACAGAACATGAAGAATGGTGTCTTGGAGAGAGAGAGAGAGACATGCTTGTCCCTCTCTGTAGCTGCAGAGAACTCTCCCAGAGAGACAAAAGGGAGAAAAGAAAAAACCCAAATTCCTTTGTCCCAGTTTGAAAAGTCCCACCTACATTCCTATTGGTCATTCCACCTGGCTAGGTGTAGTTAACCCCTTAATCCCCAGGCTGCTGGCTAACCCTCATAATCATGACACCCCCTACCCCCAGACCATGATTGGTCTGGGGCTGGGGAAGTGCCTTTGCCCATCTACACCCCTTCCGTCTACACTGCCGCTGAGTTCTGTCGACATAATGTCGACAGAACTCGGCAGTTTTGTCAACAGCTGTAAACCTCATTTTACGAGGAATAACGCCTTTTATCCACAGAATTCTGTCAACAGAAGGCGTTATTGCATCTACATTGTCCTTTGTGTCTACACTGTCATGTCGACAAAGCAGCTTCCTTTGTCGACAGAACTGGATGTCATCTAGATGCTCTTTGTTGACAGAAGTTTTGTCAACAGTATCTGTCGACAGAATTTCTGTTGACACAAGCCTGTCGTCTAGATGTACCTTAGGTGCCCATGCCCCTGGCTGGGAGGAGACTTCCCATGCTTCATGTCCCCAGGCCAATCAGGACCTGGGGGTAGGGGAGTGTGAGAAGTTTCCTGTGCTCTGTCTCCGCCTTGCATGGTGCTTAGAAGCACCATACACTCCTGGCAGGGTAGGAAGAGTCTTTATGTGGTCCTCCACCCCCAGACTCTGATTTGCCTGGGGGCAGAGGAGCAGCAGGGCTTCCACAGGCTGGGCCCATCTGATTGGTGGGTCAGATCTGACCTACATAGGCCCTTTTGCCCACCCCTGGTCTAAATGGTTCTAGGTAAGTCAAAGGGCATCTGGCTGATATCAGGACATCTTTTTCTCTGGATATTTTTCCTTTGTGGAAAGTGTCAGCTTTCTTCAAAAAAATCATTGGAGAACCAAAAATATTTGCATTTTTCAGCAGAAATTTTTTAGGCTTTTTTTTTTAATATGGAGGATGAGGTTGTCTTTTTCTTTTTAATTGAAAAGTTTTGAAGAAAACCTCCCGAACAATAAACAATTTAAAAGCACCTGACTGAAGATGTAAGTTACAGAGGTACATTTATAGAGGTTCCTTGTGATATTAGACCCATTGTTATTATTTTCATTAACAAAGTGCTTAAATGGGGATTGCTCAGGTGCAGGGTGTATCAGTCAAACATGATAAACTTTATAGCTGCACCCAGGGGCTGTGTCTAGACTGGCAAGTTTTTCCACAAAAGCAATTGCTTTTGCGGAAAATCTTGCCAGCTGTCTACACTGGCCGCTTGAATTTCCACAAGAACACTGATGATCTCATGTAAGAAATCAGTGCTTCTTGCAGAAATACTATGCTTCTCCCATTTGGGCAAAAGTCCTTTTGTGCAAAAGGGCCAGTGTAGACAGCTCAGATTTGTTTTCTGTAAAAAAGCCCCGATCTCAAAAATGACAATTGGGGCTTTTTTGTAGAAAAGCGCGTCTAGATTGGCATGGACGCTTTTCCGCAAAAAGTGCATTTGCGGAAAAGCGTCCATAAAGCGTCCATGCCAATTTAGATGCTCTTTTCCGCAAATGCTTTTAACGGAAAACTTTTCCGTTAAAAGCGTTTGCGGAAAATCATGCCAGTCTAGACGTAGCCAGGGTGTATTAATCTCAACTCCTCAGTGTGTGTGTGATCTAAAGTACTTGTCTTTGATGTAGCCAAATTTTGAGGCTACATCTATATTTGCATTCTTGTGCAAGAAGATATGCAAACAAGCCACCATTTTTGTGCAAGGGACTTTTGTGCAAGAAGGAGCTGTCTACACTGCTCCTTCTTGCGCTAAAATCCCCCTCTTGCACAAGAGCCATTCTGCCTGAAAATAAGTGGTAGAATGGCTCTTGCAGAAGAAAGGTTTTTTTGCAAGATGGAGCAGTGCAGACTACTCCTATTTGAGCGAAAGGTCCTTGCACAACATGGTGGCTCATTAGGTATGTAAATAAGGTGTGGCAATATTCATCGCTGCACCTCATTTGCATATCTTCTTGCACAAAAATGAGAAATGTAGATGTAGCCTTAGGGTTTTGGAACCTACATTCAACCTTTCTGACTAAGAAGAAGTAAGATTCCGCAGACATTTTGGGGACTTTATGCTATTGAATTGGTACAAAGACCAGGCCATCCATGGTTCTTAGGAGCAAGCTCCATTTGTTTGTTACACCGGAAGTGTCTAAGTTGATTTTGTTCTTTGTCTCTGTAGAGCTGATTGCCCTGATCCTGTGCAAGCAAATTTTACAAGCTGAAAGACAGTTGTATCCCCTTCCGGCACAACCTCCTCCCTTCCGCCCCAAGAAAACAGCCAAAAAAAAATCCCCTTCCTGGGTTAGTTGCCTTGTATAAGTTAGGATTCCTTCAATTAGCCATTTGGTCTGAGGTCTGAGGTTCTCCTTTGAAAACCCAATTTTGCATCTTCTGCAGATTTAAAGTATTTTGATGCCTTGTCAGATGTTCAAAAGCACTGAGGTGCCTAAAGTGCACAGCGATCTGGCCTGTGGTCTAAGGCCAGGCACAATCACTATGTCCCAGATCATTCCCTGCTGGGCTCCATGCCACCAGCATGAAAGCTTCTAAAGCCACCTGCAGGATTCCACCACTCTAAGGCTACGTCTTCACTACAAGTGTTTTTTTTTTGAAATAAGTTAATATGGTATAATAACTCCTGTGACCACTATTTTGAAATAGTGCACCCGCACTACAGGAAAGTCTTGAAATTAGTCCGAGGCCGGTTCCCTTAATGTGGACATGCTACCTTGATGTAAAACTCCAGGAGGCACTGGGGGGTAATTACTTACAATGGCCTGGGGAGAAGTTATGTCAAAACAGCAGCAGTGGAGAGTTCAAAATAGCAATTTCAATAGAAGCATTATTCCTTGTGAAATGAGGGTTTATTATTTCAAAATAAGAAGCCCGTTATGCTGAAATAATTTTGAAATAACTGGCTCGCTGTGTGGATACTCACCTTGTTGTTTTGAAATCACTCTAGTGTAAACATGCCCTAAGAGACCCTGCATGATGCAGAGCTCCTGGGCCACCCCTTTCCCAATAGTTAGTGCAAGGGCTATGACCAGAGAAGGGAAAAGACTAGGATAAGGGTCTGCCTTATCCCCAGCAATTCCCAATTACTGAAATGGCCCTTTTGGGCTAATATCAGCCAGCGTAATTTACAGAGGTACCAAAGAATGTTCTAAATTGTGCCTAGATTGCCTAAGGACGGGAGAAGCACATAGACAGCTTAACACCTTGTTGGTGTGTTTCCTTCCTGCGGCACACACATCACTCCTTGCCCACAGCTCAGGATTTGGGCCTATCACTCTAAAAATTATGGGTCTGAGTTTGTTCTCACTTCCATGTGTGTCAATTAGGAAAAATGAATTTAATGTGACAGATTTATGTTTGGTTTGTCTCACCGCAGAAACTGGGACATACTGGCCTACATCTTCTATAAGCGAATGAATTCAAATAGATTATACTTCACCCTGCAGAAGAGTCAGGTAAAGGATAGAAAAGCTTGGATAAATGTAAGGGGGAAGAGTGGGGGCAAAAATGTGCTTAGATTGGAAATATATCATCAGTCTAAATTTTGTTCAGTACTGCTACTTCCTAATACAGAAGTATACAGTTCCAAAATATAGTTATTAGTGAAATATCCAAGTCATGTTATTTTATTGTAGAGGAAAATGCTGAACTTAGCAATAAGATTCTTGTTACTGTGCCTCAGAGTTGAAGATTCCATAAGGAATATGTGAGTCAGCATGATGTTTTCAATACCTGAATTAAAGGTCCATTGTTTTTGAGAGGCTAGTAAAATATTGTACTGGACAAAAGTCACAAAAAATAGGAAATGGAAACATTTTATTCCAAAATATGTAATGAAAATGTACAATTAAAATTGCTTTTTATATCACAATTCCCTCATTATAACCTTGATTTCAGTTACATTAATACAAAATCAGCCATCGTAATGTTACATTTATTCCTCTTTAATTGAACAAATTTTCATTGTTGTTTCTTTGTGAGAATTTTTAAAGAATGGACAAACCTCTTCTGAGAATGAACAATCGCTAAATGTGAACAACACAGACATGTCAGTTACACTGAAAAAGGTCACCTGCCTTTCTTGGTAATTAAGGTAAACTCCAATTTTCTTGGGCTTTTTCTGCACTATGACCCGGGTCCATGGATCTGTTTTTGCCCAACAATCTCTCCCACTCTGACCCAGAACCCAGAATCCCTCTTTAGGGGACAAGGACAGTTTTCCTTTTCTCTTTATGGATTTGAGGGTCACGCCCAGGTCCCAGTCAGTGCTTTTCTCAACATCCACCTCCCAGTAGTGCTTCCCAGAAGAGAATCCTTCAGTTCCCAGCACACAGACAGTTGCATCGAACCTCTCTGGATTTGGTGGAGATTTTTTAGGTTGGGCTTCATGTATCAAACTCTTCTTATCCCCAGCAATGGAGAGGTTGGGGTGGGCTGTGTCTGTATCCAGAGTGATGTCATCTACAAGAAGAGGGGGATTTCTTTTGAGAAATAGGCATATACCTATTATATCAGTATAAAATGGAATAAAACAGAATAGGAGGGGTATATAAACAATGAAGCTTCTCCTGCTGCCTCTCCTCATGCTCAGCTCCCACTGATTTCAATGGCAGGTTTATCTGTGACCAGTGCTGCACATTTGCCAATTCAGTGTGTCACCAACATATTCTCACCACTGAGAGCTGAATTGGACCCACTGGCTACGTCTAGACTGGCATGATTTTCCGCAAATGCTTTTAACGGAAAAGTCTTCTGTTAAAAGCATTTTCAGAAAAGAGCGTTTAAATTGAATTTTTGCTCTTAAGTCATTTACTCAGGAACTCTCTCACTCAGGACTGATTCTGATCCGATAAATGTGATTCAGGAGTAACTGCATGTATGTTATTAGCATCACAATAGTGTGAAATTAGGGTAAATAAGGTCAGGATCAGGCCTAGAAATCAGTTTGGGCGCTGGGAAGTAAGGACCTTAGGAGTTGTGTCTCTGACAAGAAAAATGTCTTTCTAGTTTGATGATGGTAGCAGACATGCTGATTTCTTTAACATTGGGGCAGATTCTAACGTAGTGAGGTTCTCACACTGCATCTATCACATCTAGCCCTGTGCTGTGTGCACCATTACCTGAATTGTTCCGAGCCCTTCTCCATTCTGAAATGAAAATAAGAAAACAACAGACACTGAATTAATAGAGCCTTTCACCGTAGATTTCCTCAGTTGATCAGAAGCGACTTTCCAGATTGAGGACAAGTGAGGATGGTAGATGCAGTAGGGGCTGATTCTTTTTACACAGTTAATATATTCATAAGTGGCATTGGAATGGTCATTCTCTCTCTTTTTTTCTGTCACACACACATGGCTGTTCTGAGCTAAGATTAAAAACCAGGGCATAGTCCTGATCTGGCTGAGATCTGTTCTGTCTGCCTTGTACTTTCACCTGAAGAAATCACCTCACAAAGGGTATGTCTACACTACATGGCTCCATCGACGGAGCATGTAGATTTGTTTATTGGGCAAAGGGAAATGAAGCAGCGATTTAAATAATAGCCACTTCATTTAAATTTAAATGGCTGCCACGCCCAGCCGACAAACAGCTGATCAGCTGTTTATAGGCTCAGTGCTGTAGTCTGGATTTGTTGGCCCAGTGCGCTAGTCTGGATGCTCCGCGATTGACATCAAAGCCCTTTGTTGACTGCCCCGGTAAACCTCATCCCACGAGGAATAACGGGGTGGTCAACAAAGGGCTTTGATGATCAGCTGTTTGTCGGCTCAGCGCAGCAGCCATTTAAATTTAAATTAAGCGGTGATTATTTAAATTGCCGCTTCATTTCCCTTTGCCTACAACCCTAATCTACATGGATCCATCGATGGAGGTGCCCTCACTGCCTTCGGTTTAATTCCCTCTTACACATTCCATTCTCACTGGAACAGAGAATGAGCCTTCCCATCAACACACACGGCCTTTCCAGCCTCCAGATGCTATAGTCACAGCCAGCCAGCTCCTCCCAGTCAGGACATAGAAAGACAATGCCCTCCAATGTGTATAATACCCCCCCATGAGTAGACATCTATGTTCCAGTTCTGTTTGGATTAGTGAACTAAGCATAGCATTGTGACTATTCTGGTCAGGTTAACTGCACAAGTACAATTCCACCTGCCCCCTTGGTATGTATTCAGGCAGCTAACCCAAAATGTTATTTGTGTCACCACACTTACACTGCTGTAATTAACATGCTAGCTAGAGCAGAGCTGGCAGGTGTGTATCTGTACTGGGAATTACACACCCCAGATACTGTGCAGATTAATGGTAAATCAGTGACACTTTGGCTGCAGCTACTGAGGTGTCTCAGACCCCATTGCGGCTGTCCAGGAGACCGTTGTCCTATCCCCTAACCTGAGGCTGAGAGAGACAAGAGGTATCAGGCCACATCTCCCTTTCTGCCTAGTATGTGTGAGCAGGGAGCTGTAATGTGTGTGCTTGGAGCTACTGTACACTCTGCTATGGATGGGAAGAAAATGGACTATCGGGATCCTCATCTCCATTAACAATAGCCAGGGAGATGGAGGATTGACAGGAGAAATGGCCCCTCTCTAAATATCCAAGCAATGAGAGTAGGGATACCAACAAGGATGTACACGGGTCTTCACTCACCTAGTTCCTTCTGCATATCACCTGGAAATAAAATTAATTATTACAGCCTTTAAAATTCTTGTTCAAGGCAGGGTCACCCCACCCTCTTAACAGCACCCAGCATGCATAGCAGTGGCTCCATGCACTACCCCTCATCCACAACAGGCCCCAACCCACACAGTGTCCACTGGCCACAGATCTCCATCACTGATCAATGGGACCCACAGGAGCAGTTCCTGCAGGCAAAGACAGCACACGGAGACGCCACAGTGCTGACCCTCCCAGGGGCTGCAGGGACATGCCAGCCATGTCCTTGTAACCACGGATCAAAGATTACCCAAGAAATGAATTATATTCTGCAAAATCAATTCTGATTTAAATAAGAAAACCAGAGAAATTGATAACCAAATGGTTGGAATCATAGAATCATTGTTAGAACTGCAAGATATCTTGAGAGACCATTCAAGTCCAATCCGCTGCAGTCACAACAAGACCAAGCACTGTCTGGGTCATCCCTGGCAGGTGTCTATCCAACCTGCTCTTAAATATCTCCAGTGATGAGGCTTCCACAACCTCCCTGGGCAATTTATTCCAGTGTTTAACCACCCTGACAGTTAGGAAGTTTTTTCCTAATGTCCAACCTAAACCTCCCTTGCTGCAAGTTAAGACCATTGCTTCTTGTCCTATCATTAGAGGTTAAAGAGAACATTCTGTCCTGCTGTACTCCCCATCCAGCGCTTTCTCCTATGCTCAGTATGTTCAGTTCCTGGATATCCTGACTGCATTTGCTTTCTTCCCCAATTGCTGTTAAAACTCTTCCCCTTTAGTCCTCTTTCCAAAGACCTTGTGAGGTCTTAGCTACATTATGCTCAATGGCTGCTGAGTCCCCTAGAGGACCCCTTCTCCTGGTTCTGAAGGTCATGCCAATGATAGCATATCTCCTTCAGTTGGGACATGTGTACTCTACAGATAAGATTGAAGCAGACACAGTCAATCTTCCCGGGTTCAAATTCGCAGGTCTATTGAAGACACGCTAATTCAAACTGAGAGGGCACTCCGGTTGATACTGGTAGTCTTGCTTCTATGAGAAGTAAGGAGGTCAAAGGGTATGTCTACACTGCCATCCTAGTTCGAACTAGGGTGGCTAACGTAGGCATTCGAACTTGCAAATGAAGCCCGGGATTTAATATCCTGGGCTTCATTTGCATGTTCCCAGGCGTCGCCATTTTTAAATGCCCCGTAGTTCGGACTAGGTAGTTCAAATGAAAGCTCCTAATTCGAACTACCGTTATTCCTCATTGCAGGAGGAGTAACTTCTTGAAGTGTGGATTGCACCACAATTCGAGTTAAGATACTTCAACATAAGTTACACAATTAATATAGCTGACATTGTATATCTTAATTCAACATTATCCTGTAGTGTAGACCAGGGGTTAGGTCTAAAGAAACCCTGCCTGGGAATGCAGTCTTTGGTTTCTGGACTGTAACTATTAGGTGATAAAGGCAAACTCATCTATTTTCTTCTGCAGATCTTCCGCAAAAGAAAAATAAAGAGACGGCAGAAAGAATACAGCCCAAACCCATTGAGGTCCAAATTGAAGAGAGTGAATGAGATACTTTGTTTCCTGAGAAGCATAGATATTGGCCATAGCAATGGAGAAACAGAAAGACACACACTGGCTATTCAGCCTGTGGGCTGGTCCCATGGCTATCTCTCTAAATGGTAAAAATGGAATACAATAGTCTTCCATTAATATGGTATCTCAAAATGCATTTCATTTCAACTTAAATGCAGAGTCTTATTATTTGTACATTTCCCTTCTTACTGAGCTTCTTTACAGGCAGGTTATGGTTTTTGAAGATACAAAACAGAAATGGGGAAATCTATTTAGATGTTAATGATGTATGAGTAGCACTGATCACATACAGAAAATGCTCATATATGTTATTGACAAACAAACCAAGGAAAATACTCCTTCAAAAGTGGGAAGGAAGTGTGAATTTTAAGGATATATCAAACATTTTTTCTTTTAATTCTACAGGAGCACTACAAATTAGTGGAGTAAAAAGTATACAGACTTACTTATTTTCTTCCCTAAGTTCCCTTAAAAAAAACAAAAAAACAAAAAAACCAATAGCACCTTTTGTCATAAAATGGCCAAGAATGGAGGTAACTAACTGTTAAAACATTGAAAGCTGTATTGCTCTGTTGGAAAATATTTATGAGGAAAGTGATGAAATGATGAGCACGATCGGATTAAGGCCAAAAGGGACCATTTTTATCATCTATCACACAGTACAGAGATCTTTTCCAAAATAATGCCTGTCTTTATTAGGTGAGACAATCTGCTATGAATTTTGGTAATTAATTCAACTGTCTAATAACTCCTAATCTTAAATTTTTCTGTCTAAATTTCTCTAGCTTCATTGCCAGCCATTGGGTCTTGTTAAACCTTTCTCTGCTAGAGCTCATTATCATATACAGTATGGCTGTGTCTACACTGCACCCCTTTTCTGGAAAAGGGATACAGATGAGGCAAGTCGGAATTGCAAATGAAGAGGGGATTTAAATCTCCCCCACTTCATTTGTACAAATATGGCTGCGGCTTTTTTCCTCTTAAAATCAGGAAGGGCAAGTAGTACATGACCAATCTGAATAGCTTGTATGATGAGGTAACTGGCTCTGTGGACATGGGAAAGTCAGTGGATGTGATATACCTTGACTTTAGCAAGGCTTTTGATATGGTCTCCCAAAATATTCTTGCCAGCAAGTTAAGGGAATGTGGATTGGATAAAATGGACAGTAAGATGGAGAGAAAGCTGGCTAGAAAGACAGGCGCAGTGGGTAGCACGAGTATGTCTTAGTGATCTGCTAATCACCCACCCCGCTCCAAGAGCAGATGCAGCCCCCTAGGCAGAGATTTAAACTTTGCTGATGGACGTAGAATGGAAATCTTACCTGCTCCTGGAAGCTCTTTTTTGCTTTCTAAATGAGGACAAGAAACATAAAGCAAAATCACTGATTGACTGTGTTGTTCCTTTTTGTCCTTAAGACACACACAGACATTGGACAGAAATCTTGCTCCCCAAAAAGTTAAGGTCAAACTGCTCTTGCTGGCTAGTCAGAGGACCCCCCCTGCCATTCTCAAGGGTTCTGCAGGGAGTCGAAGCTGCTCCACCATTCCTCTATGAATTCACACACCCTTCCTGTGGCCACAGAAAGCTGAGGAAACGTCCCATTGAGAGGTCCCTGGAAATCCCAGTTGCCATTTTTCCTGGGATGAACTGAGCCAGAATTCCCAAACATTCCCAAGGGAGAGAGGGGGCAGTTCATAAAATCTTAGTCCTGGTCTACACAAGGACCTTGGTCTGAAATAAGACCCCAAAGCTCGAATTTTGTTAGTGAAGCATCCACATGAATTCAAAACTGTTAGGGTACGTCTACACTACAGCGCTAGTTCGAACTAACTTAGTTCGAATTAGTTAATTCGAACTAAGCTAGTTCGAACTAACGCATCTAGAACTAAAAACTAGTTCGAACTAGCGTTTTGCTAGTTCGAACTAGCAAGTCCACATTGAGTGGACTCTGAACAGGGCTTAAGGATGGCCGGAAGCAGTGCCGGCAGGGCATAAAAGGAGGACTTAGAGCATGGAGATGCTGTCTCAGGCTAGCCGAGGGCTGCGCTTAAAGGGTCCCGACCCCCACCCCGGACACACAGTTCTAAGGGGTGCCCCGCTTGCAAAGAAGTTCTGGCTTGGAGTGCCCTGAGTGCCCACACTGGGCACATCACACCACTCGGCCATCAGCCCGGCTGCACTTGCCGCAGGCTGCCATCTGGGGAGAGGGAGTAATTGGGGGGCTGCAGGAGAGCTTCCACCCCCAGAAGCCCGCAGAGCCAGCCCAGTCCTCCCCATCGGGGGCTCGTACCCCATTCCTCCCTCACCTCCTTCCACTTACCCTTCCTTAGCCCCCCTTCTTATTGATGTACAAAATAAAGATAACGTTTCTTCCAACATTGACTCTGTCTTTATTGAAAAAAAACTGGGGGAGACTGGGAAAAGGAGGTGGGAGAGGGGAAGAGAAAGGCTGGGAGAGGGGAGGGCAACTAACATGATCAGGGGTTGGGAACAGGTCCCAGATGAAGAAAGGCTACAGAGACTGGGACTGTTCAGCTTAGAAAAGAGGAGACGGAGGGGGGACAGGATAGAGGTCTCTAAAAGCAGGGGTTGGGTGGAGAGGGTGCATTCAGAAAAGTTCTTCCTGAGTTCCCATAAAGAAGGACTAGAGGACACCAAAGGAAAGGAATGGGTAGCAGGCTTGAAACTAGTAAGAGAAAGTTGTTCTTGACAAAGCAAATAGTTAACCTGTGGAACTCCTTGCTGCAGGAGGCTGTGAAGGCTACAACTAGAACAGAGTTTAAAGGGAAGTGAGATCAAGTCATGGAGGTTGGGTCCATGGAGTCCTATTAGCCAGAGGGTAGGAGTGGTGTCCCTGCCCAAAGTTTGTGGAAGGCTGGAGAGGGATGGCACGAGACAAATGGCTTGGTCATTGTCTTCGGTCCATCCCCTCCAGGGTCCCTAGGGTTGGCCGCTGTTGGCAGACAGGCTACTGGGCTAGATGGACCTTTGGTCTGACCCAGGACGGCCATTGTAAGCTCAGGGCTCAGGGTCGGGGGTCTCAGTGGACCCCCTTGATTTTCATGCACACCTGGTCCTGGGTGGCCAGGCTGGCAGCTCTCCTGCCCTAGACGGCCACTTTCCTGTGCCTAGTGCAGAGATCGTGGACAAGGTCCATTATGTCTGCACTAGCCCAGGAAGGTGCCCACTTCTTGCGGTCCTGGGCAAGCTCCCGGGAGCCGCCAGCCTGGGCCTGGGGAGAGGG